GGGGGCCGGCCGGGGGGAAGCGGCCGCGCGACAAAGTACCCAGCCCCGGCCCGGCGGCCGCGTCACAGCCTTGTCGGCGTCCGGGGCCGGTCTTAAAGGGGAGGGTCGGAGGGGGCAGGGCTTGGGAGGTGAGGCGGGGCCGGGAGGCGTGAGTGTGGGGGAGGGGCCGGCCTTAAAGGGGAGGACGCGCGCGGCTCCTGGCCTCTATAGGAACCAGCGCGGCAGCGTGGGACGGAGAACGGCGATCTTAGCCAGGCCAAGGCAGGAAAGGAGAAGGCGCGTGGAAGCAGCTGTGCGATTCGAATTCCAGTAGCAGATGTGAATTCTACTTTTCTCCAATTATCTGCCTTTAGCAAGCCTCAGCGAAGTGGGAGAGGGGATGGATTTTGCAGGAGGCTTAGCTGGTAAGTGGGCACTAGAGAAGACCCTGGGGTGTTCTGGAGTCGAAGGCTGTGCTGTGCGGTCCGAGGATGGGTGTGGGGCAGACGCTAGACATTTTCTTAGCTTGAACATTTTCATCCGAGTTTTGCATTTCTTTTCTCAGGAATTTTCTTTTCTTTTTTCTTTCCCCTCCCCGCCCCAATAAAGCTGTATTGTGTACCTGTAGGGTAAATGGAAGTGATCAGGTGTTTTCTGCCCTCCCATTGGCATCAAAGATGGACGCCTGGGGTCTTGCTTGCGTCCCTGATGGTGGAAGCCAGGAGGAGGGTGTGCAGAACAACCCAGAGAGAATGCCAGAGAGCCAGAAAGAGTGAAGATTCACCTGAAGGCCACACAGCCTCCTGGTCACCCTAGCTCCCCACCCCTACCCTGCAACTGATTGTCTCATCAGTCATAGTGTAGTACCTTTGAACACTATTTCATGTAAATTAGCCAAAGAAGAAGAGGGGTTAAAGTGGGTGGGTGGCTGTCTGTGACTCTAGGGCAATCTGGTAACTTCAGGGAGAATGCAGGCAGGGACTCCCAGAGAGTTAAAGAAGCCTCAGAGATAGGAGCAACAAGAGACAGTGGGAGCAGGACTGCATTTCTACTCAAAAGACACTAGTGAGGGGAGCAGCGAGAGAGAAAGGAGAGGTCTGCTGTGCCCTATGGGTCACCCCCCGGGATGGGAATCCTCTCACCTCGGCACCTCTGGCCTACAACCAGCTCTTGTATACATAAATAAATATATTTTTTAAATGTGTAACGAGGAATAAGGGAAGATTCAGAGATAAGAGCAAAAATTCCAAAAGGAGCTAGTCAGACACCCCTCAGGACTAAATGCAACAGGACATTCTGGATCAAGGATGACAAGTGTCCTAAAAGATAAGGGATGTGGGCCTCCCTGGTGGCGCAGCTGGTTGAAGCACAGCACTAAGAAGCAAAAACCACTTCAGCATGAGTTCAATTCCCACCTACCCCGGATGTGACCACATGGCACAGCAGACCCCTCCTGACCTGCCCACTGCTCCCCTCAGCAGTGTACTTTGTCAGTCTGCCTGTTCTGCTCCCCATTCTGTCTCTGGTGAATCCTCTCACCACTCCTGCACTTCTGGCCTATACCCCAGTTCTGTATGCATAAATAAATAAATCTTTAAAAAAAAAAAAAAGATAAGGGATGTGAGGCAGGAAGAGACCAAGTACAGTAGCAGTTACGTGAGCCCACTGAGGACTAACCAGAGAGGCTAATGGAACTTAGAATAAGGAGGGAAAGAAAGTCTGTATTCTCCAAGCTTTTTTGCCCCTCCCAGGTACTTTATACCTGGGAGTCTTTGCGCTTTGTCCTTTTTCCTAAATAAACTTTTCTTTACTCTCTCAAAGTTTGTTCTCTCTGCTTGGTTATCTGAACACTGCGAATTCCTATTTACGGCTTCAGGAGACAAGAATTTGTGACTACCAGGGTGAGCAGCAGCAGTGGCAGCTGGAATCACCTTAACAATACACTGGGCTTTGGGGGCTAGAGGGGGCTACTTTTGGGATGGGGGGCTTGTCCTCTGGCTTAGGGGTGTGGAGAGAATTAGGTGAAACAAAGTAACGAAAGGGAAGGTCTGGGGAACAGATTCTAATTTCCAGTGTGGAAAAATTGGTCCCTGAAACAAACTATAGCCATAGGGAAAGCCAGTATCATTAAAGCATTAGAGTTCCAGGCCCTCTTGTCTGAGGAAGATACCAGAGATCTGGCCAGACCCACAGCACAGTCCAGATAAGGAGGAAGTTGGGGCGGCTCTGAGCTGTCAAAGGCCCTGTGCATATTCTGATAGGACCTGGGGGTGACCACTGTATACATCCCTGCTGACTGCCCCCCACTCTGTCTAGTAGAGCAGCTGAGAAATAAGACAAATGACGCGGGCAGGTGACAAAACCTCAGCCTGACCACTAATAAGGCCTAATTAAAGAACGGGGCTTGACCTGTGGCCACACATGGCTCCTAACATGCCCCCCCAAACCCCAGAACTCCCCTGTGAAGATGCCACTTAGGAGGGAAAGCACAGCTTGAGGACTAGAGCCTTTGTTTGGGGGCAGGGGGTGGCGGGGATAGTGGAGGAGGGGTGTTAGGTAGAGAGAAGGCAGGACTGAGCCTCCCAGCACAGTCCCTTCTCAGCAGAAATATCTGGTTTCATGCACCCAGCAAAGAACTGACTCCCCAACACAGGGACCCACTGGATTCAAGCACAGTATATGGGTGGCGGTTTTATCTGATGGGAGAAGACAGACGGTACCAGCTGGGGTGGGAGTGGGACTGAGGTGTGGGAGCTGAAGACCTGGCCTTCACCCCAGCTGTAGTAGCCTAGCACCTCCTGTGTGAGAGAGTAGAGGTAAGGTTAGACAGTTACTGGATGGATTCCCCTCAGTCTTGGAAGATGAGAAGGCTTAGGGCTGAGGAGCTTGGAAAGCACCCTTATCTCACTAATGCTATTGTATTATCACCTCCCCAGGCACAGGGGAGATGTCCAGGCCTGAAAAGAATGGAGATGCTGAGAAAGTTTCAACTCCTCAGTTTGTCTCACCTGACTGGGGCCCCTGGTGGGGGTCGAGTGGTGTGAGTTGGCCTCTTACCCTGCACAGAGGGTGACTCCTGGCTTCTTAACTGCTTGGCACTGAGCTTTCGCCTGGTTCTCCCCACAAGGCTACACAGATGATAAACTCTTCTGTCCTTTCTGAGATGACAGAATTAAGAGACAGGCAGCTTGAATGAGGAGTATTCCCTTAAGCTGCTGCATATCTTCTCTTTGTAGCTGAAAAAAAAGAAAAATGATAAAATCTACTTTCTGGATTGAGTGAGAATTAAACGAGACTATTAACGAGAATTCTTCCTAAACTTCAAATTACCACAAACTAGTGTCATAATCGGGGCGTCACTAGCTTGCCCCTCTGTTCTGTGCCCACTGTCTGGGGGTCTGTCCCTGATACAAAACTGCCATCTTGCCTCTCTGGAACACCGGGGAAATGCTAACACCCATGCAGGAGCTGCCGGCCATGGTAGAGTAGAAGGGACACCTACGTGGGTTACATGAACTGCACCTACTTCCCCAGAAAACACAACTGTGAACACAAACGCATAATCACATTGCCTTGCATGTTACAGGCACAGAACTAATGCAGAATGCATGAATGAAAGGGAGTAAGCTGGGCTAAAGGAAGGAGCTTCCAGCAAGAGATCCCAGTCTTAGGTTCCTCTCTAGTAAACTATGTAATCTCACAAAAGTCTCTTGCCCTCTCACTTCCCTCTTTCTATCTGCAGAATAGCAATAACAACATCTGTCCTGCTACCTTGAAGAGCTATTGTAAGAGTGAAGTAAAATACTTTCCTTTAGGACCCAGAAATCCAAAGTCCTATTTTTACACCACCAAGCTGTCAATCATCTATAAAGAACTACTTAAACAGGGCCCTCCCTGGTGGGCTTGGGTTAGTGCACAGCGCTGTGAGGCTCTCTGCAGCCACTGCAGTGTAAGTTCGATCCCTGGCCAGGGAGTTCACCCACACAGCATGGCAGACCTCTGCTGACCCACCCGCTGCACCCCTCAGCAATGTATTTCAGTATATCTACCTGTTCTGCACCCTGCTCTACTCTGGTGAATCCTCTCATCCCGTGAGTCTGGCCTGTACCCCAGTTCTTGTATGCATAAATAAATTTTTTAAAATAACTACTTAAACAACTTATGGATGTGTAGAAGCATTGCACGAGTTAAATGTCTACGCAAATAGTACTATTTTTTACTACGATTCACATGT